CCCCTCACTCCCCATCCCCTGCCATCTGCTGCCTTCCCCAGCCATGATTTTGTAAAACTTCTGTCATCAAGAAACTGGCTGTGGCTCAGGAAGGACACTGTCAACAGCCCTCCACACTCTTTAGTTAGCCTTTGCCAATCAGTTGGGCCTTGGCTCCCCTTGTTCCCATGGCTCTACTCTTAAAGTGCCCATGGAAAGTCAGCAAGAAAGGCGACAGCTGTGGTTAAAAGCACCTGAGTGAAAATCCTTAGAGTGAGGTAAGGCTGGAGGGAAAGGACAAGAGTATGGGAGAACCTCTTAGCCCTCAGGAAATTCAATCCTTCTGCTTCCTTTCCTGTAAGTGGAAGGCAGTTGGGAGATGGGAACAATTTCCAAGGCATTGAGTTGAGAATGGTTATTCATTCAAAGTGGTATGGAAAGTCTGTAGCTAGGGGCCTGGATTAACTCTGTGGTATATCTACACAAGTCTGCTCTGGTGTGGGGCTGGGGGGAAGGTGGGGGAGTGAGGTAGTGCTGAATCATTTTTTTCATCAGAGCAAGTCTCTCAGGGACCCTGATCTTGTTTGATCCTTTTCTCCTTGTAGCCTCCTTATTTCCTCTTCAAGGAGTATTCTGAAAAGGATTTGGTTTTATTTGTTGAGCCTCCCCTCTGTGTGACTTCAAGACCCTACAATTACATGGAAACATTATTCATGAATTCACACCTGGGTGGGGTTTCTTGGAGGCTCTATCTATTTTTCCTTGGATGAGATCCTTTTTTCAAGGGTTAAGCTTTAATCTTCTTTTGTAGCATTGAGGATGACAATGCCAACCTTCCCTCCTTCTTGCATCAGATTTCCTTGTGGTCCCCACTCTGGAGGATGTGAGATGGCTGCCCAGTGAGCATGTGGGGTATGGGGAGTCTGTGATTACGACATGGGTTTTCTTTGTGTCATAGTCAGTGCCTGTAAGGTCATGGCTACTGCACCTCAGCTCCATCCCCATTTGATTCTCCTGAGACACTTGGCCCTGCTTCCTAATCATAGCACCCATTAATGAATAATAAGTTTGGCAAAGAGAGGAAGGAAAAGCAGTCATGTTAAACCCCAGACTTCTAATAACAGCAATGCTTATCGTTTTAGTGTACTCTTCCCAGCTTTTTAAAATGTGAAATTTAGAAAACACTTGTAATCATAGTGTGTACAATGCTTTTGTAGTGAATTAAACCTTGAGTATCTTCATTGCTAATGAAGATTCATGTGCTCCTCCAGCAGGAGCTGTAATACAGATCACATCTCAGGCAGGCAGGTGGGGGTGGATCCTTGGCTGTGTGGGAAACACTTAGTGTGGAGCGGCATCAACTAGAGGTAGGTTTCTGAAGGCCTGTGGGGCAAGGAAGGATGAACGCCCTCTTTTATTTCTTCCAGGCTTTGGAGGGTTGTCCTCCATTATTTTGGAGGTTGATATTTCTCAAAGTTTGATCTGCAGACTACTTGGAGTGCTGACTCCTAGGCTCCAACCAAGATCTACTAAATGGAAGCCGTTGAGGGCCAACCCCAGCAACTTACATGTTAAGCCAGCAGTCCCCAGTCTTTTTGACACCAGGGACCAGTTTCATGGAAGATGATTTTTCCATGGATGAGGAGGGCAGGGGAGCAGGGTAGGACAGGAGGTGGAGCTCAGGCGGTAATGCCAGTCATGGGGAGCACATGTAAATACATACGGAACTTCATTCACTTGCCTCCTGCTATGTGGCCTAGTTCCTAACAGGCCATGGGCCAGTATGGTTTCTGTCGTTTAACCTTCATGGCCTGGGGGTTGGGGACCCCTGCATTAAACAACAGACTCAATACTTTTAGTCAAGATGGTGGCACAGGTAAACAAAACTGGCCTCTTTTCACAACCACATCAAAATCAAAATTACAACTAAATTATAGAACAACCATTATTTACAACTGTTAGAAATCGAGCTGAATGAAAGTCCTACAACTACAGAATTAAAGAAGAAGCCACATCAAGACTGGAAGAAAGTGCAGAAATGTGGCAGGGGATAGTCCCACACCCATGTAAGGTAGATAAAATCAGGAGGGATATCTTGGGAATAAGGGGTCCCAGCCCCATACCAGGTCCCTAGCCCAGAGTTCCAGTGCCAGGAAGAGAACTTGCCATAACTTCTGGCTGTAAAACTCAGCAGGGATTGAGGCTATGGAAGACAGAAGCTACTAGACTCTCTGAAAATTCCTCTTAAAGGGCCCATGCATAAACTTACTCAGATTCACTCCCTCTGAGCTCCAGTGTGGGGGCAGCAGATTGAAAGGCACCAGATACATAGAGAGAGGAAATGAATTGTATGACCTCAGGATGAGAGCTGGGGGGGCAGCTTTCTCCCAGAGAGACATGATGGCAGGGGCCACTGTTCCTTTTTGGAGCTCTTCCCCCAACAGAGCCACAGAGCTGACAGGTGGGAGCCATATCTGAGATACCATCAACCTGGGTCACACTGTTTGCCCCACACTGGTGATTCCCTGAGACCCAGCCCCACCCACCTTTTGGGCCCACCCAAGCTATTTCCAATGACTTTTCCATATGAATGTCTTGTCTTGGCCCATGCTTTAGAGTTTCTTAAATTCTCTCAAACAAGCAACATCTGGCTTCAGCAAGCCTGTACCTCTTGCTAAGTTTCCGCGGGCCTGACACTAGCAGCAGCTGGCTTTGGTTCACAGCTGGGCCTCGCCCGGGCACATCCAAGCCCAGCATAAGTAGCAGCCATCTGCAGATCGCTTTGTAGTTTATACTGCGTGACCCTGGACAGAACATAGGTGGTGGCTGACTTTGGACAGGCAAACAGCAATAAAGGATCAACTATAACAGAAGGGTGTACACAGCCCACATGGTGGACATACCTCAGGTACCCAGCTTGGGTAATAGGGGAGGCTGTGCCACTGGACCCTACAAGACACCTACTACATTAGTCCACTCTACCAAGCCTGTGAGATGTAGCAGCTCTGTGTAATACAACAAGGAGACAAAGAAACATGGCCTAAATGAAAGAACAAATAAAAATTCCAAAAAAAGGAGTAAACAAAATGGAGACAAATAAGCTACTAGATGCTGAATTCAAAACACTGGTTATAAGGGTGCTCCAGGAACTTAGTGAAAACCTCAACAGCGTAAAAAAGATCCAGTCAGAAATGAAGGATACACTAATTAAAACAAAGAAAAATTTTCAGGGAATCAAATCAGTGATTTGGAATATAAGGAAATAAAAAGCAAAAACAAAAACAAAACAAAAGAACCAATCAGAACAGCAAGAAGAAAAAATAATTAAAAATGGGGATACTGTATAGAGCCTCTGGGACAACTTTAAGCATACTAACAGTCACACCATGGGGTTACTGGAAAGAGAAGAGAGAGAGTAAGAAGTTGGAAACTTATTTGAAAAAATAACGACAAAAAACTTCTTTAACTTGGTGAAGGAAATAGACATACAAGCTCAGGAAGCACAGAGAGTCCCAAACAAGATGAACCCAAAGAGGCCCACCCCAAGACACATCACAATTAAAATGTCAAAGGTTAAAGAAAAAGAGAGACTCTTGAATACAACAAGAAAAAGCAGTTAGTTACTTACAAGGAATCCCCCATAAGACCGTCAGCTGATTTCTCAGAAGAAACTTTGCAGGCTAGAAGGGACTGGCAAGAAATATTCAAAGTTGCAAAAATGCAAGGACCTACAACCAAGATTACCCTGCAAAGCTATCATTTAGAATTTAAGGACAGATAAAGAACCTTCCAGACAAGAAAAAGCTAAAGGAGTTCACCATGACCAAACCAGTATTATATGAAATATTAAAAGGTCTTCTTAGAAGAAGAAGAAGAAGAAGAAGAAGAAGAAGAAGAAGAAGAAGAAGAAGAAGAAGAAGATCAAAAACATGAACAATAAAATGGCAATAAATACATATCTATCAACAGTTGAATCTAAATAAAAATAAGCAGAACAGAAACAGAATCATAGATACAGAGAATGTTTTGATGGTTGCCAGGTGGGAGGGAGGTCAGGAGGATGGGCAAAAAGGTGAGGGGATTAAGAAGTACAAATTGGTAGTTACAGAATAGTCATGGGGATGTAAAGGACAGCATAGGAAACAGTAACAAAAAAACATACATACATGACTCATGGACATGGACAATGGTGTAGGGATTGCCTGAGAGAGTGGGAATTCAGGGTGGAGAGAAGCAAAGGGTTGAAACATTTGGGACAACTGTAACAGCATAATCAATAAAATATAATTAAAAAACAAAACACTTAATGTCTTTTCTATGAATGTAAGAACCTCCCAGCAAGGATGCCCTAAGGCTTCTCACCATGGTAGTCAGTTAATCCTGAGTACTCCCATGCCACAGAGCCCTGCAAAGAGAAGTGAATTGGAGGTTAAATGTACAAAGACCGTAGCACTTACAATGGCTTGTTTTCTCATTAAGAATAGTTGTATCAGCCCTGGCTGGGTGGGTCTGTTGGTTGGAGTATTGTTTCATATGCCAAAATGTTGTGGGTTCAATTCCTGGTTGGGGCATATACAGGAGGCAACTGATTGGTGTTTCTCTTTGACCTCGATGTTTCTCTCTCCCTTTCTCCCTTCCTCTCTTTCTAAAGTCAGTAAACATATCTTTGGGTGAAGATTAAAAAAAGAATACTACCTTCATTATCATTTTACATTTGTAAAGAGCTCTAATTTTCAAGGTGCTTCCCCATACGTTATATATTTTTGCAGCAACCCAGTAATGTGATCACTTTTATTTCTTTTGCATTTTGCAGATGAGGCATTGGAAAAGTCAAAAGACTTGCCCAAGGTCACCTATGTTATCTGCATCCAAAACCCCTGGTCCCTGTCTTAAGCAGTGAGCAGATTTCTCTGGGCACCATATTCTTGCCTGTTTCATCCAGTACTTAGATGGAATTCTTTTTCTTCTGCAGTACACTTTCTGACTGGCTTTCTTATACTCACTTCTCTCCCTCCCTGCAGGGGGCCGCGATAAACGAGGTGGACCCATCCTGACCTTCCCTGCTCGTAGCAATCATGACAGAATAAGACAGGAAGACCTACGGAAACTTGTGACCTATTTGGCCAGTGTGCCAAGGTAAGGTTAAGGGGCATGTCCTGCAGGGAATGGGGGAGGGGATCTGGGCTGATGCAGGAGTGTTAGAATGAGTCTCCATCGATGCCAGAAGCCAGGGTTGTTTCTGCCCTTGTAGTGGATTCTAATTATTCCTGGAATATGATCAGCCATTGTTAGCCTCATTCCCATCCTTTCCATCATTCCCATTGTTACTTCTGGGATTTGTATGAATGGAGTTGGCCCTGGAAGTGGGAACCATGGGCAGAGGTGAAGGTCCCAGGCTGAGAGGACCAGGACAGGGCCCAGAACCGATGAATGTGGCCTGGGGAGGAGAGCTGGGAAGCTGCTCTTTACTTTGAGGAAATGCAAACTCTGACTGATTACACCCTGGCTTGTGTAATGGATTATTTTTAAAACCTGTGGCTTGTGAGTATGTTTGTGGCTCGTGGAGTTTGGGTCGAATAACACTACTTTTATCATTCAAGAGGCAACCTGCAGCTCAATCTAGGTTACGTTCAACAGAGATAACAGTGCCAGTAAAGGGCATGGAAACTGGTTCTTGGGGGCAGCAAAATAAAACAAAACAAACTTGCTCTTTTATGCATTAATCACAGCTCTACATATGGTATATAAGCCGATATATAGTATATAAACAGCATACTATAGTATATAAACAGAAATACAGGATATTTGTAGTATTAAAATTTCAGTAGGTGGATGATTAAGGAAAAAATTATAGAAAAGTCTATTGTGGGCAAGAGATGATGATAATAAAATTAAAATGTTGAGAAACACTGGTTTCTGAGTGTTTCTACATGATGCTGTCCATAGAGTTTGGTGGAGGTAGACACACCAAGGACAGGAAATATGTATATAATCTTTTAAGGGGGGAAAGACGAAGTCTTTTCCTAATCCAAGAATCATAGAGTGTGAGAGCACTGAAAAGTGATCTAGGCAAATACGTGTTGTGGTCTGCGGAGGAAACAGGGTCGGTATGGGAAGAGAGTTGCTTATCGGGTGGCAGTGGCAGAGTTTGGCTCAGAACTCAACCCTCCTGACTGATGCCCCAGGCTCTCCCCATCCTGGTAGAGGTGAGAGCTCTGTTTACTGTCTCTTAATGGGGCTGGGGCCTGGCGCCTGGTAAGAGTTTGTTGTGACAATAAGAAGTAGTGCCTGGGGCTTTCAGAATCTTCATCTTCATGTCTGTGCATTTTATAGGAGCACTAGTAAATTATGGAGAGCAGCTATATATTCAGGACTCTCTTTGCTGGGCAACCTGGGTAATTCTTGAATGTGCTGATTAAGTTCTTGAAGCTGGTGTCAGGTGAGGCAAGCACTACATTTGAAAGTTACAGGGGAGACAGATGTATAGGGGTTGGTGGGTGGTGGTGGGCAGGTGATAAGGGGGACTTAAGAGCAGTCATCAAATGCTTGGAAGGATGTTAAATAGAATGAGGAGCCTTGAAGAGCTCCAAATAGAAGGCTGTGAACAAATAGATATCAAATAATGTTTATATATTTTTTGTTTATGATATCCACTGGGGACTAGAAAAAAGACTAAGAGTCTTAAGCTCCAACAAAAGGAATTTGGATAATATTCAAAGAAGAACTTCTAAACTTTGTACATAAGGCTTTTTGAACTTAAAAAAGAGAATGCAAGACTTTTTTGTACAGGCCTTTATACAGAAGAAATGGTCCTATCTGTCTTGGGCGTAAGGAGACAGACTAGATGGACTAAATAACCCATGATTGATCTAGATAATTGAGCAATTTAGCCATCTAGGGACTAAGCAGTTTTAAAAGCCCCTTTCCCTAGTACACTAACAGGCATAAAAACAGGCATTTTCTAAATCAATTTACAAGGAAAGTTTTCATGGGGAACCATAATGGACTCTCAGCTCTTTTAGAGCTAGAAGAAATTGGGATCCCTGGGGATCCGAAGGGTACATTTTTTTCTTTCTAGTATGTTCATCACATCTCTGCAGCTAATGCATGCTCATCTTTTCTTTAGAATGGAAGGTGAAAGAGTTGGAAGAACACTTTTCTTTATTATGACTTGTTAAACAGAGATGGAACAAAGCAGATTGGAAGAAATTAAAGATTAGGAAAAGACTTGTGTCGGGTAAAGGGAATGAAACCCAAGAGGGACTGAGAGGAAGGTCATGAAAAAGGAGAAACAGCACATTCTCACTGAAGTAATGTACTACATGGAGGCTCTCTGCTTCTCAGAGGGTAGTCACCAGTGTTGTATCCTGTGCTCCTGAGAACAGAGAAGGTTCTTCACAGGTTCTGGCAGGTGGGAGACAAGAGTCCTGTTGCCACTTTTGGTGGGAAGAATTGTTCCGAGACACTTGCTGCCTCCCTCCTGCAGGGCCTTGTGTGAGTATGTGGCAGGCTGCAGAGCTCACCAACTAGTCATGCCCACCTCGTGACTTCCTAATTCTGCTGACTTCACACATGGCAACTGTTGGAAACAGAACCTGGAACAGAACTGTTGTAAAGACAGTGAAGTATGGGGAGGGAAACTGAAGAACTGAGCGAGTCAGAAAGTACTTGCAACTTTTCCTCTCAGCCATAGCTTTAGGAAAGAAATGAAGCTATGCACATGAATAGCTAGATTAGGTAGATGATACTTCTGGGGAGAAATGATCTATGCTGGGTCGTGGCTCAGAAGACTAAGAAAACAGGCCCCTGTGATGGTGGAATGTGCTCTACAGACTGGTGTAGTCAGCAGTAGGCAACATTTGACTTACATTTATTCATATATTTATTCATTCTTTAATCCAGAGTCTGTGTATGCCAGGCAGATTGAGGATTCATGGTGAGAAGGAAGAGATATTTTGAGAAAATTAGGGAAAACCAGGGTATTTCCCTACCCAGTGCCAGATGAGTGATTGTAAAGGGCAGTATAATATATGACTGTTCTGATAGCATAGGAGATGAACCAGCCAGCAGAAGACAAGCAAATAGGACTAGTAAGTCATGAAAGAGGATCTGGAACTCTAAGGAACTAGTTGTTTTGGTGGCCATTTTGGGGCACCATTCTAGAATAGATGATGAAAAAGATGGTGGTGACAGTTTAAAAATAAATAGGAAAAAATAGTCCCACTATCCTCTGTGAAAGCCAGGCCATGTCTGGACCACTGCATTCAATTCTGCAGCACTGAGCTCTGCAGTTGAAGGATTGAAGGAAGTTTTCTGGGCGGAGTGAAAAATGGGAGAGGCAGGAAAGGTGCCCCAAAGAGCAGGGAAGAAGCATGGTCCTTGTTGCATCAGGGGGTAGTAGTTAAAGATCAGGGCTCTGAAGGGAAGAGAGAACCTGCCCACGTGGGAGCTGTCCAGCAGTCATGCCGCTGCCTCTGGAGACAGTGAGCTTGCTGTCATTTGAGACCAGACGACTTTCTGTTAGGAATGCTGTAAGGAGAGTTCCTCCACTGGGCTGGAGGTTGGATTAGATCATTTCCAAGAAGTTTTTCCTGTCCTGCATTGTGTGTTTCTGTAACACTGGAAAAAATATACATCATAAAATCTAGGACCTGAAAACAGAATATTACTACCCTGCTAACAGCTACTCCCTTTCTCAGGCTGTAAATAAGTTAAGGCCTAGAATTTCACTTCAGATCTTGCCTATGTCTTAAAGCCTAAGAAAACTGCTGTCTAGTCCCCTTGGACTCTGGGTGGGGATTTCGGAGCATCTCGTGGGAGGAAGGATCATCCCAGGTGTGACAGTTTGGACCATCTTAGTTACTCCTTTGTGTGCCATCCCAGCCCGAGTCCAGTCCTTTCCAACTTCCCTTTCTGGTTCCTGATAAATTTGAGCATATACCTCTGGATCTTCTTTAAACTTTCTGTCATTTTGCGTTGAGGAATTATAGAGTACCAGGGTAGGAAGATGCCTTAAAAGTCTTCTAATTCAACTTCCTAACAATTCTTTTCACTCAAATTCAACAAATACTTATCAAATGCCTATGATGAGCTGGGGCCTGGGTAGGGATTTTGATGAGTTTCATGTTATCTTTTCTGACTGTCATCAATCCTACACTTATCTAGCTTTTTTGTTTTTCTGGCCTGCTATCTGCTTGCAGTTACTTGTACATGAAAGGATTGGAAAGAAAATACTCGGATATAGCAGCTGATGAATGTCCCCAGAAATTAAGAGACAGGATGGAAAATCTAGCCGAAGGGTAAACAGTTGGCCAGGCATAGCTCACAGTGTGGATAATCTACCCACAGTGATTATTGGGAGTTGGCCATATGATTGAAAGATAAATTTTTAAGTATTTAGTAGAGAAATTTTGGGCTAGTTTTATTGCATTGAATTCTTCCTTTCCATCATCATTGTTATCTTGCTGTGTCATGACCATCTTTCTGCTGCTTCTAAGGGCACCAACTGCCAGTTCCTTGATGTATCTGCCACTTAACACTGCTCTTAGCAGCATGGCTGAGCTACTAAGTGTTCCAGCAAGGAGTGCAGGTGTCATATTGGTGAGGGAAGATGACGAGAAATTAAGACGGGATATTCCACAAAGCCAATCAAACCAAGGTGCCAATATTCACAGTTAATTATTTAGTAGCATTTACTTTTTCTACTGATTTTAGCCAGAGATAAATTGGGCTTGGAGCCAGCACTATCTTTGTGCAGCATCACCAGAAAAATATAAATAAGCAGAGAGAGCCAGAAAGACAGTTAAGGGGTGAGGCGGTAAAAACTCTAAGGGTTCTTCCACTATGTTCAGCATGAAAGAGCCCAGGCTGTCCGGCCTGTCATCACTGAATGTGTTGTGTTATAAGGACCTGTTAAGATGTGTTGCTGGTGTCCTGACCTTTTGCTCTGGGATCATCAGTTGAAGGAGGATAAAGGAAATAGTGATGGGAAGTTCAGAGAACTGGACCAATGAGAACATTGGCCTAAAACTTACACCTTTTAATATCTGTTTTTAATTTATTTTACTGCTTATGTACAGAGGGTTTATCATTTCTGTTATAGTTCCCACATTCTATACAGATTTCTGAGCAATATC